CTTCATTTTGAAAGAATCATTACTTCCCTTTTGCCTATGAAGCTGTCTTCTTCAAGGTCCCAATGATTGAGCGTAGTGTTCCGAGGGAGGAAATACCAAAACCAGAGTGCCAGGGACCTTTATTTTAAAGCCAAGACCCCATCTGCTTCTCCTGAAAAGACAGTAAACCTTTTGTGGAGTGACTTTAAACATTTTGCTGTGCAGTCCTGAGTATACGCGTGTTTTCATGCCTGAACCTTGCTCACTGTCACAAGTTACCTCATTTGCTATTGGTTTGTGAAGTTTGTAAGCCTAAAAGTAATACAGATCTTTCTAGGAGCCCACTGCTCAAGATAGTTGTGGCTTGAAATAACCAGGCAGAAATTAAAACTGAGCAGGCCAGCGTACAGATTGGAGAAGTATGGTGAAGGAATCCAACCCTTTTTTAATTTTAAATCACGCAGTGTTCATGGGTTCTACTGTATGGGCCGCCTACTGGTCAATAGACAGGTTCCATAGGAGCAAAATGAAGAGTTCTGTAATTATCATTCTCTGTAATGTTACTTGTCATTTGTTATTTGCATGTACATAATCAAATGTCACTAAATAGTCAATAAAACACAGACAAACATTGAAAATAACTGAGTGGGTCAGAGAAGTCTTGTTTCCTTGTGTTAGTTCTTCAATAAATCATATTTGGGGTTTTGAGTTCATTTATGTCAACCATTTCAGAGAGGTGCACAACACAGCATTGCCAGCTGAAGGAAGCATGTGGAGGAGGAATAGGAAAAGAAATTTACAAAATGACAACTGGGCATCAGAAATGAAGGTCGACTAGTACCTTCGTTTTCAGCTTCTAAACTTCCTTTTCCCAAGTTACAACTTTATCCTAAGGAATAAAACGAATAATAATTGTTATTATTTCATCAGTTACATTAATTTATATATTTAGGCTTTGTCGACAAATCTGAATGGGGCTGTCATGAGACCTTTTTTGCAAACAGAAACCAGAAGGGCTTCATGCAGGTCTCCCTCATCACTATCTCATCTCTTTGTAAAGAGGGGCTAATTGGGCCCATGTTGTTGAATTCAATTGATCAGAATAGAAAGTCCATTTGCACTTTATATCGGGAGAGTAAACCCTTCGACATGTTTTATGGGACTGGAGATGAAAGGCTTCTTCTCTTCACACAATATGTTATTTGCTATGTGTGACCATCTTAAGAAGTAGGTATATGACTTTTCCATTTTCCAGAGTTAGAAGTAGAGACTCTGTTTGAGTCGGTTCAGCTTTAGGGATATACAGACATTTGAATCAGGTTGGTCAATTCCGGGGTTTTGAGAGATGCACCCACTCGGATCTCAAATAATTACATGATGGAAAAGTATCATTATAATAATAATATGATGCTCTCAGTTTACTTTTGTCTATCTAAAGCTTAAGTCACTGTGCCTTGTCGTCAGGGAGATTGTTAATGTCACATTAATCATTGTATCTTTCATTTATTCAGTCAAATGTTCTTCCAATCCTAAAGCGAGAAGGAAAATGATCAATGTAACTCCCTGATCTTTGTCTTAACTCTGTCCCACTCCCTTCTCTTCCACTGTGGAAGAATCCGCCGCCACCCCAATCATGTTGCCAATTCCTACTCGCAGCACCTCTATGGGACAGAGTGGAACTACCCCTCCGGGTTTCTCTGAGGGTAAATCTTCACGGGAGTAGACAGCCTCCCTGGGAGGGGTAGGTGGGGTCCAACTGCTATCCTTGTGGCTAATAGCTCAATCGTTAGTCCAATTCAAGTCGTAATCCACTACAGCACAAGGGCTTCTTTGTAAAAGAAATTGTATCCATTGCCACGAGTGGATTCTGACTCATAGTGACCCTACAGAACAGCGTAGACCTGCCCCTTGCACCTTTCCAGAAGTAGAAAACCTGGTCTTTCTCCATGGAGTGGGTGGTGGTTTGGAGCTGCTGACCTTATAGTTAGCAGCGCAGTGCTTAACCACGCACTACCTGGATTCCTGTAGTAAAAGAGAATAGACCTGACACTTCATCTTGTCCTGCCCAGCCTAAGGCATCCCTGTCTATTTTGGGTGCTGTCCGCGGTACCGAGATCTCCTCCCTGGATGGTCCACTCCTCTCTGTCTTTGGTGTCCAGCATATACGCTTTCTCCTGCCACCGCTGTTTCCGACTCTTAGGCTGCCCTCCGCTCTGGGCAACCAAGTGGGCTTACCTTTGTATTGTTTTGTTTCCCCCTCAAAAGATGCTCGCAGGGAACCCCTCACCATCTCAGTTTTCCTAAGGAACCCAGAGGTGCCTTGGGAATAGAAACTTTGGAAAAGGGTTTGCTTGCTCCTCCTCCACCATTAAATTAGTTTGGCCAAGAAAATGGAGCTCTTCCGGCCCTGCAGGCTCCAGGGGTGGGTGAGGGCGGTGTCTACAAGGAGTGTGTGGGCCCTGAAGTTGCTCAGAACCCTTCAGAGTCCAACACTTACATCTTGTAAGCAATGAGGTTGTTCTAGTTGAGTTCTCAGCTTCTAGGCAGTGTGATGGTGAGACATTTTCTAGATGTATCTCTACAACATGTTCTGCCCTAGCATGTGTATGGTGGGGTAGGGACTTAAAGAAAGGTCCAGGTGCTTTGTGATTCCACTAGCAGCTTCCTCAACTCAGTCACATATTAAAACAGTGGTTCTCAACCTGTGGGTCACGACCCCTTTGGGGGTCGAATGACCCTTTCACAGGGGTCGCCCGATTCATAACAGTAGCAAAATGACAGTTGTGGAGTAGCAAGGAAAATCATTTGATGGTTGGGGGGTCACCACAGCATGAGGAACTGTATGAGAGGGTGGCGGCATGAGGAAGGTTGAGAACCGCTGCATTAAAGTCTTTCAGAGGTCCAAGGAATGGGGAGGCGAGTGTGTTAGAATGAGTTCAGTCTCAAGGAAACCCAAGGGCCATACTTTTGAAAAGACAAACGTGAATGAGAAATGTAAAGACACAAAGGTACGTATTTCTTATCCTTCCCTAAGTCAAAATGCTGTGCTCCAAGATGGTGCACAAGAAAGTGTGGTATCTACCCTTTGCCCTCACCTCCTCTGCCTGCAAGATGACTGCGGACAAGGACAGAATCTGGCTGATGTGTCTTTGAGAACCCTTAGGAATAAAGAATTCACAAGGAAGAAATGGTGTGTTTCTTTTTAAATAGGCATTCCTTAGATAAATTCTACTTCTAGAAGAGTAACCGTAGGCATCCAAAACATGCACCAATTTGGATAACCTCAATGAAGAATGCTTATCTACTTCATTTCTTGGGACATTATCTGCCTACTAAGAATGAGAAGAAGGAAAAAACTCATGGCCATTGAGTTGATGATGACTCATAGTGACCCTGTGAGAGAATTGCCCCTGCAGGTCACTGTTTACAAGAGCTACGACGTCTCATCTTTCTTCTGATGAGCTGCTGGTGGTTTTGAACTAGACCTTGTGGGTAGCAGCCCAGTGCATAACCACAAAGCCCCTGATCTCTGAGTGGAAATAAGGACTGAAGTTGAAGCTAATTTCCATTTCTCCGGGTTGTTGTGCTTCCTGTGGTAGCATCTCCATAAGTCTGTGATTTCTTCAACTGTTAGGTTTCTGCTTGGTTACCATTCCAGCCCCACTATGGGCAACTGCAAGGTTTAGTTCATGCAATTTTGGTCCCTTTATTCATTTAACAGACATTTATTAGGCACACCTGGTATGTCAGTATTGCCTAAGGAGTGTGAATATGAGCTAGGCATAATCTAAACACAATGGGACACTACGAGTGTCCTTGTTTGTTCTTTTAAATCATAGTTTAGACGAAGATACAATAATTAAATGGCTGTTTAAGAAAAAGGAAATTGAAAATTTAGTTGTTTCTCAAAGTTTTTTCTTTTCAAAATAACTTAGTTGAAGAGACAGTCTTGATGCCTTTGTATATATTTTTGTTTGCGAACATCAGGATCAGCTGTCACTTAAATATTACTATTATTGGTAAAGGACTGCTCATTTGATAGATAGATACTGGCAATGGATTGAATCCCACTGCTGTAGCTTAGACCTTGGCTGCTGTTGAGTTGATTCAAACTGGAGCTTTATATCCAGATACACAGAGATAGCTATGGAACTCCTAAAATTATTAAAAGATTATCTTCTATTTAATAGATAACTTCTTAATGGGAAAATGCAATCTAAACCAAAATGTAACCTCAAAGACATTTTGAAATGTCTTCACTGGGACTAAAAATCACTATTCAACAAAGTATTCCATCTAAAATGATAAGAGCTAAGTCCCAGAGGCAGTTGATTCTCTAACACTTGAAGTGAAGTAAGGCAGCATTTCTTGAAATAGTCGATTTTAGGAGTGTTTGGGGATATAGAAGAACCATAAAAAAGGTCCATTTCTACTTTTAGAACAAGCACTTCTTATTGGGTTCACCAGAAGGCCTGGTGGGGTGGTGGGTTGCATGTTGGGCTGCTAACCTCAAGATCAGCAGTTCAAACCCAGCAGTCCCTCCAGGGGAGAAAGAGGAGGCTTTCTACTCCTGTGAAGATTTATAGCATCAGAAACCCAAGAGGGTTTCTTCTCCATCCTATAGGGTTGCTATGAGTAGAACTCAACGCTATGCCTGTAAGTTTGGCTTAGGTTTGGTATCTCAAAGGGAATATGAGGCGTTTACTCCCAAACCATATTTCATTCCAAGCAACATTGGAAACTGCAAAATGCTGTAATCACTACGGTTTTCAAAACATGGTTTCAATTCTTACGTTCATTGTAGATTTTCTTTCTTCAATAATTCATTCATTTAGTCATTGAATAAATATTTACTGAATATCCACTAGCCAGAACCTCAGTTACCATCCATTACATCAGAGGTGTCTTCAAAATGCCTCCCAAACACATTGGATAATGACACTGTAAGATGTGGAGATCAGGTAAGGACTTACATTATTTTGCTCAGCAGTATTTATGATTACAATAAAACATACAAAGACTTTTTTGGTGCTACAGAACTTTTAATGTTTGTAACTCTTTCAATGGGTTCTTCAATTCAAGGTAATCTTACAGGCAAAATACCAAAGCAGTAATTGAAATTACAGTGAACTCAAGTAGATGATGAATTTGGGTGTTAGCACATATTAAACCTGAAAATTCAATTCTAATAACCATTTTGTGCCTAATATTTAATCATATATGCTCCCTTAGGATTTCTCCATAGCAAAAAACAAAACAAGTTTAATTAGTCTTGATGAAATGTGACCTCTCATTGATTTTAAAATCAGTTATGAGTATGAGATTACCATCTTTAAGTCGAAGACTGCCATATTTGATCTACCGTTATGATTATTTGGGTATATATTAATTATGAAACCATTTCAAATTATTTTTCTCTACTTGTTGATCTTTCATCTTGTCCTCCAAAAGAATTTAAACCTGTTATTTAATATGAAGGTTTGCCTTTTCAGATTTTTTCAGATGAAATAAAGGAAGCAGTTGGATTTCTATCAACAGATTCACCAGCTGACAGAAGGAATTCTGCCCAAACTTTACTTGATTTTCTGCAAGGCACTGCAAAGGATTCCAACTTCACCTGCAAAGAAAAACATCATTATCACAGGCCACTTAGATAATGAGTAGGTCATCTTTAAGGGTAAACACTAGGGGATTGATGGAATATTTGGATAAGCCAGTGCCACCTAACTTCTAAGGAGCATATAACTTTCACATGGAAATGAGGTCTTGGAAGTTATGGGGCAGGTACTTAAAACTTGTAAAACATGCTAGAAATTCTAATATAATTAACTACCTCTTTGCACAAGACTTTTTCAGGGAAGGAATTAACAGGTTTCTCTCCCGGGAAATCACAGTTCCTCTGTGTCACTTATATATGGAAGGAGTTGTATTCTAGAATCCAAAAGTGTGGTTCAGAATCACTGAGGAATTCTAAAAATTCCCAAACCTTATCACAAATTTAGTCATTTGAGTCTGGGGGCTATAGCTCAAGACTATTACTTTTGAACTTGCCCTCCAAGTGATTCAGATGCACGTTAAAGTTTGAGAATGCCATGTCTATGCATATAACTCAGTCTAGCTTGCCGGACCACTGGACTAAGGTCTGGTGATGTTTCTACCATATGAGCTACCTTCCCATGTTTTCAAGGGCCATAGGAACCCAGAGTGTCCACAGAAACGGAAGAGACCTAAATAACCTCACTTAAGGAGACTTAACAGGTCAATCCCAGTAAGCATCAAGTTGAATGAGTCTCATGGTGATTAGGGTGTTACAGAGTAGAACTGAGTTCATAGAGTTTTCATGGATGTAACTGTTATAGAAGAATATTGGCAAATTTTTCTTGTCATTTGTTCCACCCAGGGACATGGGGAGACCAATCGTTCTGTCTTGTTAGCATATAAGAGCTATTGGATGGCCGAGAAAGCAGAGAGAATGGATATCTTAGTGGATGAGATTGCAGGAAGCACAATATAAATTAGACACTTAGAGGAAAACAGGTGGACATTGTACCTTGAATGGTGTCCACCAAACTATATGTTGACACTATAATCCACCAGCGTTTTCTAAATTGACCTGGAGAAGGTAACTGTGATCTTACTGGAAATTGGGGTTTTTGTATGTGTAATCTTTGAGATTATAAAGTCATACCTGATGAGAGTGAGTCCTAAACCCGAAATGAATGATGCCTTCGTCAGAAGAGAAGCTATACAGATGTAGATACAGAAAAGGCCATGTGAAGACAGAGACAGAGATTGGAGTGGTGGATCTACAGGCCAAGGAAGTCTAAGGATTGCTGGCAACCACCAGAACCTAGAAAGATATAAGGGTGTTCTCCCTAGAGCCTTTAAGAAGAGCGTGGCTCCGGGGATACTTTGCTTTTAAAAGACTCCTAGCCTCCAGAACCACAAGAGAACAGATATCTGTTGTTCTAAGCCACCTCCTTTGTGGTATTTTATTACGAAGACCCTAGGAAACTAAAGCAAGAGCCAAAAGAAAAAGCAGGGTGTGTCAATGGCAAGCCAAGCTAGGACAGTGGAAGGGTTATAGGGAAGGGGTAGACTCTAGGAACATAGATGGGAAAGGCTACTTAAGACTATTCTGGCTTTTTGGCCGACATTTTCTCCCTCAGTGTGCCTGTGGCTGGCCTGGAGATGACTTCTCTCCTTATTCCAACCTTTACTAAACTTCTTATTTTGCCTACAGTGAAGTCAAGAAAATACAGCCCTTGAATTCAAGGAAAGTGTGCTATCAAAGAGTACCACTTACCATTGATGGAGTCGGCCAAAATCTTAAGCTGCTGGGTGTTGTCCAAGACCTCAATCCTCTGAGTGTACGGATCGTAACGAACTGTGAAGGGCTTTGGGATCGTGGCAGCAAAGTTCCTGAGACCAAAACCACAGACCTGAGTGAAAGGTACTATTGGGAGGACTGATTGAGGAGGGGGTCTCTGTGGCATGGCACTTTGCTATTCACAGTAGGCTTCAAAAGTCAGGGCTGAGAGTGAAACAGAGTTTTAGTGACATCCTTTTGTGTGTGTGTGTGTGTGTGTGTGTGTGTGTGTGTGTACAACATACATATAAACCAATCCTAGGGGCCATCGAGTCAACTTTGACTCATGGAGACCCCATGTGTGTACAATTGTGCTCTACAGGGTTTTCAATAATAAATGTTTCAGGGGCAGATCACTAGACCTTTCTTCCAAGATACCCTGAGGCAGTCTCAAGTCTCCTATGTTTTGGTTAACAGCTAAATGTGTTGTACATTAACACATGCTTATTTACTTGAGGGAGCCCTGGTGGCATTAGGCAGCTAACCGCAAAGTCAGGAGTTCAAAACCACCAGCCACCTTGGAAAAAAGAGGCTTTCCACTGTTATAAAGAGTTAGTGTTGGAAGTCCACAGGGGCAGTTCAACCCTGACTTATAGGGCCACTATGAATCAAAATCAACTCTACGGCAATGAGTTTATCTGTTGTTGTTGCTGATTTACTTATTTATAAAATGATTGTGATAAATAAATAAATAAATAAAATAATGTAAACAACTTTGTTCATCAAATGAAATCAAGATTAATTAAAATCATCCAAAGAATACTATAGAGAAAAGTTAAGAGATTTCCTGAAAATCTATTTCAGAGAGAGAAATGACTCTCCAAGATGAAAAAAGTACTGTGTTAATACTGAAATTTAGTATGTACCAGGAACTAGGTTAAATCCTAACTGTTCTATACTCTTTACAAATATTATTACCAAAAATGTAAAAATTAAAAAATATTTATCATTTATCATTACCAATCTAATTCTCACAGTGACTTTATAATGAGTATACTATTACTATATTCTCCATTTTATGGATAAGGAAAGGGAGCCTTAGAAAAGGATAGTGTCTCAACAAGACCACATGGTCAGTAAATTGGGATGGGGCCAAGTGGTTTGATTCTGACCTGGGTTCTTAACTTCCCTGCCAGCCCTCTATTCCTGGCTCTGGGAAGAATCTGCCATGAGGAACTATGTGAAGGACATGGAATAATATAGTTAGCCAGGTATTCCAAAATGATTTGTCAAATGCAAAGTCATAATACATTCTAGTTCTAAGTTGGTCCCTGATGGAACTTGAAGCTGACATTCTGAGAAGACGCGTCTAAGAGAGACTAATCTCACCGCCATTGAGTCACCGCTGACTCATAGCAACTCCCTGTAGGTGTCTGAGGTTGTAGTAGCTGATGACGAAAGCAGAAAGCCCAGTCTTTCTCCTGCAGAGCTGCTGGTGGTTTTAAATTGCCGACCATGCAGCTCTCAGCCCAACACTTAACCACTGCTCCACCAAGGCTCCATAAGGGAGACTAGCAGTAGGGCTCACCAATTTGGGAAAGAGTGGTGTAGCACAGTGGCTAAAACCTCGCGATCTGGAGTCCGATTGCCTGGGCTCCAATGTTGCCTCTGCCAGATTGTAAAACCAACTTCACTACCGTTGAGTCAATTCCAACCCATTGGGACCATAGAGGACAGGGTAGAACTCCCTCCTGTGGATTTCTCAGACTGCAACTCTTTACGGGAATAGAAAATCCTCATCTTTCTCCCTTAGAGCAGCTGGTGACTTTGAACTGCTGGCCTTGCAGTTAGCAGCCCAATGCTTTGGGGGGGACTCCTGAAGTAGAAAGGCAGTGAAAAGGAGGGCATCCCTCAACAAGATGGATGGACGCTGTGGCTGCAACAATTGCCTCCAGCATATGAGCACTTGTGAGGCTGGCGCAGGCCTGGACAGTGTTTCCTTCTGTTGTACACAGCACAGGGTGGCTAGGAGTTCATGTCTATGGCACTTAACAACAAGGACTGATTGAGGGCAGGGTAATGGCTTCTATGGCCATATTGTTCACAGAGAGTTTGGTGACTGGACCCGGTGGCTGCATTGAGTCAGAATGGATGGGGGTTGTCTGCACGAGTCAATATGTCCACTCAATAAGCTGAGCAATGAGGTTAAGCTAAGGGATACCTCCCAACAGGGTGGAAAGGGTCAAGGGCGGGGAAGTGAGGGAAAGCAATTCTGACTAATCTTCAACATTGCTGTAGACCTTTGAGGTCAGTCTCCTCAGCAAACACCTGCAGATCCATGATGTTTCTCAGGGCCTGGGGACCTGGCACCGGAGCCAGCTGGGAAGTCCACATAGCCTCCAGCACACTTTGGCTGCTGCCTTACCTCACTTTCTCCTTGGCGTCATTAAAACTTTCAGCTACATAATACAGGGGCTGGAACTCGGTGACGCTGTACTCCTGGATGGCTGTCTTCTCCAGCTCCAGGGGGAGGAGGATTGGCTTCTCTGATAAGCAGTACTGTAGGTCCCAAACAGAACGTTTCTGCAGTTAAATCAGGGCTGGTGGTGCCCGAACCCTCCCATAGGCCATATGTACACCTTTTCCCATGCCACCTTTATTCTTCCTACATCCCAACCCGAATGTACTGAACTAAATTAGTTTGCATGTCCTAGACCCTACCCTTCATAGTCTACCTAAACACAGCAGCCAAGGTAGAAGAGAGTCAATCATTCTCAAGTAAGATATGGGGGTACATTATATATAAAATGTATACATTTGCATATCACTGTAGGTGTTGGCCAACTTTGGGATCAGGGGTCCCTCTGCCATGGAGACCTGTGCACTTGGACCCTCTACCTCTAACAGCCATCGTCATGACCAAAGCTCAGCTGCTAGGGTACCAGTTCACTGGGGGAGAAGATGCCTGCGTACATCTCAAAATGGATGTCATGGATCCTAACAGCATTAAGAAAACAATAGTTTCCTCCACCTACCTTTTACAAATCTGGCCTTGCTTCCTGTTAGTCATACCTGTAATTCACCAAATGATGACAGGAGCCCCGCACCATAGGCTTTTATGGAGCCTCCTTGCTTGCAAAGCCCAAACTCCACAGTAAACCAGTAGATCTGGAATGGAACATCAAGCTTAGAACTCATCCCAGAAACCAGATGGCAACAGATGTTATAGGCAAAGACAATATTGTCCAAATGGGAGCTCACGCAGATCCATTCTCTGAGTCAGTATCACCTAGACTTGATATTTGGTATTCTAAGGCTCATCCCACCAAGTTACCTGCTAAACCATCAATAGTTGGCTGAATGCAAGATGTGATAGCAGGTCATGAAAGGGACGGATGAGCGAGGTTTTAAGGACACCCCTAACACAGTCCTCTATGCATGACAGGAACCCTTCCATCCCTTTTGCTTTCCTTGCTAGCTTCAACTAGACCAGAGGTTCTCAACCTTCCTAATGTCGCAACCCTTTCATACAGTTCCTCATGTGGTGATGACCGCCCCCAGCCATAAAATTGTTGTCATTGTTACTTCATAACTGTAATTTTGCTACTATTATAAATCAGGCAACCCCTGTGAAAGGGTCGTTTGATCCCCCAAAGGGGTCACGATCCACAGGTTGAGAGCTGCTGAACTAGAGCAAGGTGTCCTGTTAAGTTGATCAGGGTTATCAGGAAATCCCATCAGACTCAGCAATGGAAGGTAGGGGGGAGTTGTTGACAGAATTAAGGAGGGGAGCATCACATTGTTCATGCTAAAACGTGAGGTGTTTCTGACATGCCACCTGCCAGTCACTAGCCAATCACCTCCCAAAATAACCAAGTTCTTTTCTTTCAACAACTTTTGGTCCTGGTCTGGATGGTGCCAAAATCCTGGCATCAACCTGCTGACTGGGGCCAAGAGAATCCCAGGTCCGTCAGATGCTGGAGACAATCAATTTCTTGGATAATAAGAGGTGGGTTACTATTTAGGTCTATTTGTAGGTCTGGTGTTGCTAGCCGATACCTAGGCAGCCCCTGAGGTATAGTCACCCCAGGCACAACAGAATAAAACATTGCTTGGTCCTATGCTGTCCCCATGATCAGTTGAAAATCAAACTGTGATTGTGATCCAGAGACTGGTTTTTGGAAATAAGTAGTCAGGCCTATCTTCTTTCTTCTTCCATCTTAATCTGGAAGCTCCTTGGAAACGTGCTCAGCATTATAGAGAAAGGCAAGTCGCCACTGACTGGTGGGGTGATGGCTATGCATGAGGTGCTTGAGCAGGAAAGTAACTCCTGGTCTCCTATATAGAAGGCAAAAATTCTAGCACTGAATCACCAGTGCCCATTTTATTGTGCTGAAGAGTGTTAAACTTGGGAAGGCTGCCAGAGCTCAGTGGGCAGGTGAGTAGGCTTCAGTCCAGAGAGGTGTAGTGTGTGCATAAGGTGACAGAGCAAAATAACGACAGAGCAAGAACCAACCCAGGATAGTTCCAGTTCAGTAAATTCCTTTTTTGATAAGTAAGGTGGGTTCTGGGTACTTTGATCATTGGCACAGCAGGTCATACAAGGCTATGAGTTCTTACAAATGACAGATTTGATCTAGTTCTGCAGCTTCTTTGAAAGCAACTTCCTGACAACATCTGTCATTTAAAAAATCATGTTCACAAATGCTTAACCCTTTAAATCCTCCTAATAAACCTCTGAGATGGGCATGATATGAACTACTCTAATCTTTCACATTGTGATGTTGTTCAAGAATATGACTACACCATGAACTTCCAGAAGAATGAATAAATCTGTCTTTGAAGACATGTTTCTTGGAAGTGCGGATGGTGCGACTTCAGCTCACATACTTTGGACATGTTATCAGGAGAGAGCAGTGCTTGGAGAAGGACATCGTACTTGTTAAGGTAAAGGACCAGAGAAAACAAGGAAGACCCTCACTGAGATGGATTGATACAGTGGCTGCAGGAATGGATTCAAACATAAGAACAACCATGAGGATGGTCCAGACCAGACAATGTTTTGTTGTACAGAGACAAATTCTGTTGTACCTAGGGTCACTGTGGCAGTTACATAATCTCCTGTCAACTTGCAAGGGGGTGTAGTATAGCCTGTCAATGAGGTCATAGCCAATAAGGCCTCTGTGTGGGCATGGACTTATCCTGAGGATTCTGGGAAGTCTCCCTGTATCTTCCTTCTTGGAGGTGGGAGACACTCTGTGCTTCATCTCCAAGTGAAATATTCCTGTTGACAAGCCACGAGGAGGAATGCGGATGGCAGCCAGAGCCTTGGAGCTGGAGGAGCCACGTGGCGACCCACACCAGCGATAAGATGCTTCCATTGCCACTGGATCCACAAGACTTTCCACCTACTGGCCTATGATATTCCTGCACTCAGTGTCACTGAATGTGTTATGTGGGTCTGAAGAGGAATTTATAGACTGGTACTGGACATATGGGCTAATATTGGATTCACAAACTTGATCTGGACTGGGCTGGGATTTTTCCCAATATACAATTACTCTTTTATATGAAGCTCTTGCTTATGCACCCATGAGTCTCCCTGGATTTGTTTCTCTAGTCAACTCAGACTAACCTAATCACTATGAGTTGGAACTGACCCAATGCACCTAACAATCACTCATTTATAGAGATGAGGGGAAGAATTTTCTGAGAATGTTCCGTCTTGCTGATGTTTTGCATTTGTAATCTTCCAAGCTGGTACATCTTAATGATCTATTTAAGCTTCAAAGTCTGATACAAAATGTTTCTTTATTCTTAGTTTTGAACTCCCAGGCTGATGCAACTCTAGTGATGTGGTCTGGAGATTGGAGGGTGATGTGCTCCGATTGGAGGGGAGCCTAGAAGAAGGTAACTACCTGCACTCCAGAGTCGCTACTTCAGTGGAAGAGTCCCATCAGAGTCACTCCTGCGAGGGGCGTATTAGGCAAGAAGGGTCAGTTCACCCACATTTCCTACTTTGGTACCTGAGTAACAAAAGACCCTACCTAAGTCTAGCTCCAGGACAGAGGCAGAGATGAAGCTGTGACACAAGACTACATCATACAAGTGCTTTATGTCTGAAAGTTCTCAAAGGCTATCATAGCCTATTGTGTTTTGAAGCCATTCTTTTTAAAATTACATGTACACATATTTATGCATCCAGTTTCAAAATCAATCCATTAAAGGGACATCAAGATGTGAAGCTTTACTCTGGGAAACGCATTCCAGCGCTTTCTGACATTTTCCTCCCAGGGGAGGGGCAACAGGCTGAGAGATCTGAAGGCTAGGACTCCCACCATCCATCCAGAGAGGGAAGAGATTTCGGAATTACCGTGGCGAGTTTCTCAATGTACTCATCAGGTGCACCCAGAGAGGCAAGGCCAATTTCCTATAATAGTGGAGAAGCAAGAGTTACTGGCATGCCTAGACTCTGCCCGTCTTCAACCTTGACCCCAATACCAAACCAGCTCTTGACCAGGAAGGTGGTCTGTGGGCAGATCCCTGTGGAAGCACTGATCTTGAATGCTTTATCACACTTGTCTTGTTCACAATTGTAGTATGACAGATTTCGAGAACAGGGGAAACCTTGCATTGACTTTACAAATGAGAACATTGTGGTTCAGAGAAGGGAGGTGATCGGCCCCAGGTCTGGCAGTAAGTTAGTGTCTGAAACCTCATTGTCACTCCGCCCAGGGGTTAATCCTCCACAGCACAGCTGGAGCATTCCTGGAGTGCATGGGTCTTAATCACGCCAGGTGAAAATATCACAGAAGAACTTCAGAGAAGTGTTTGACAGTCAGTCAGATATATACAGAGCTGCAGAGACTGAAATATCATGGCCCATTTCTCACCACAGCTCCAAGAGTAGAATTAATCTGCTGGTCTCATTCACAGCACTTTCTCCAACCTGCCTTGTACAGAGTTATTTATGCATTCATGTTCATTTATATTTGTCTTCCATACTATATGCATTCATTCATTCAAAAAATTAGATGTCTTCTATGTGCTCGTGTTTACTATGTACCTTCTAAGTGCTAGGCAGTGTACAAAATCAGAAAACATCCTTGCCTGGTGGTATTTTAAGTTGAGTGGACGGAGACAGGCAATAAGCAATCAGCATATAAAGATATATTTTCACAAGTGTTATTTCTTATTTCCAAAGTAGATGAGGGGAGTTGGTGGGGAGTGCCAGGGAAAGGAGGGAAAGTTAAGGTTTTGAATACACTTGCAGGGTACACGTCACTGAGAAAGTGAGGTAATGTTTCAACCCAGACTTCAAGGAGATCAGCTTGGTGGGTCTGGTGACATCTGAGTATGCAGACCAACTCTATAACAAGTCCACGTGCTGGGTAAGGCAGAGAACTATGGGCAGGTTCAGGAATAGTGAGAGACAAATGTGGCTTGAGCCAATTAACAAGCAAAGGAGAGTAGTAGATGACAGCAACGAGGGATCTTGGATCAAATGACAGGGTTTATTGGGCAAATTAGGGGCTGGGCTTTTACTCTTAGTAAAAAGCCATTGGAGAGGATTGAGCAGAGAAATGACACGATCTGATTTGTGTTATCAAAGACTGCACCTGACTGCTATGTGAGAACAGGTTATTAGGGGATCAATGGCCCCTGGAGGCTGTTGTCATCATTCCGATGAAAAACAAGAGTGAGGCCAGGTGGGTGGCTAGAGAAGTAATGAGATATCATTGGATTTTACCCAAATGGTTATGTGGGAAGTGAATAGAGTTTGAAAGGTGGAATATACTCCATTTTCTGAAAGATTAGTTGTAGGGCATGTGGGAGGGGGAAAAAAGTGTCAACGATGGCACCCGGCTTTTATTGTCTGAACAATGGGAAGGATGAAGTACCAACAGGGACACAGAAAGGACCTGGAAGGTGCAGTGGTTCTGCGCTCGGTGGTAACCCCAAAGTTGGCAGCTCAAATGCAGCAGCTGTTTTGCAGGAGAAAGATGTGGTGTCTGCTTCTGCAAAGAGTGTCTTATGGGCCTTTCTATTCTGTTACACGGGCTTTCTATGAATCAGACTCAACTCAACAGCTCTGGGTTCGGACTTGGTTCTGGGTTGAAAAAGTCTGAGAGGGAAGGTCTGGGATAAAATATTGGATAGGAAGAACAGACATCCAAGTGCAGAGAGGAGTAGGCAGTTGAGTATGCAAGTCTGAGTTTTAGGGTTGAAGTCTAGTCTGCAGATGGATATTTGCTTGCCATAAGAATAGAGGTGGTATATAAAGCCATGTTATTGGATGAGATGACTAGGAGATTTGGTGTAAACAGAGATCAGAACTCCAAACTGAACTCACCAAGAGGTAGCATGGTCTCCATCTGAATCAAGAGTAATGGTTGGCCATTACTATCTATCTATCTATCTATCTATCTATCTATCTATCTATCTATCTATCATCTACCTACCTATCATCTATCATCTATCATCTCCCCTTTCCCCCACAAACATCCATTTTAGAACATTTACTTCTTTTCTATACTCATCAGCTCTCCCCTCTTCCACCATAATTGCCTCCCCCACCATCCTCACCAAGAATCCTTGGCTGCTTCAATAGCTCTACCCTTCCTGGATTTTATATATAGCAAAACATAGAAAGAAAAATATAGAGAAAAAAAACACTGCACTCTGTCTGATAACAAGGCTATTTAATTTATCTCCAGTCTATGGTCAGAGGGGATTCACTAGAGGCTTAATCCATGTGCGGACTCTGCAAATGGATTTTGGCTCCCACCATTATCCAGAGCCTTCAGCAAACTAGGTGTTCCCAATTTAAGCTCTGATACCATTCCCTCCTTCAGGTTTGGATTTTACCATTCACAATCCTTGGATCCCAAAGGTTGGTGTGCTTCTTCCATTGCTTGTTCAAATATAAGCCTTTAGGATACTGGATGCTATTTTTTTGAATAGCTGATGCCTAATGCTTTACAATACTGATTTAGAAGCAAATTTATCTAGTGTCCTTCACCTAGTTATGCTATCTATCTCTGCTCTATTCGCCCTTCTCTGCTCTATTCACCCTTCCAAATCATGTCACAAACCAAGTCATTGCTAAATCAATACAGTGCTTTGCTTCTCTAGACACCATTTTTCCTGTGAGCCCAGAGCTTTCCTAAAAGAGGACACCAATATTTCCTGTGCTCCATCCCTAGTCCATCCTGCAGCACAGTGGAAAGCAAGTCTTGCCTTCAGAATGAAAAGGGGTGTGCTTGGGAAACTTTCAAGCTGCTCTCCTGACTTGGGACTGTGCAGGTTAAAGTTGGGGCCATGTGGCATGGGTGCTCAGTAGCTCTATTTGTCCACTCCATGGTGGAGCTGCCTCAAAGTGGAAATGGCTAAAAGAGGATTGCCACTTACTCTGAATGGGGAGAATATCTATGGTGGTGAGAATAAATGTGCTTGTTCTTTGGCCACCTTTACAATTTCAAACCCACCATGAATATGCAATGGCATCTTGATAACCGTCAGCAAGCTTCTGGAAGTCCAATGCTCAGAACTAGCCTCACTCTCCCAGTGTCACTGCCATGGTTACAATTCAGCTGATCCCTAAAGACTGACACTCTCTCTGAACGCTGCCGTTTGCAAAACCCCACATAAGAGCTTCCTCTCCTCACTGCCATTGAGTATAGGTCGACTCACAGTGCGTCTGTAGGACAGGGTAGGACTGCCCCTGTGAGGTTCCGAGACTGGAACTGTTTATGGGAGTCAAAATCTCCATCTTTCTCCCAGGGAGCACCTGGTGGTTTCGAACTGCAGCCCTCGAGGATCGCAGCCCAATGTGGAACCCCTACACCACCAGGGCTCCTCTCATAAGAGTAGCAGTGATTTTGTTTTGCTTTGCTTTGTTTGGAGCTGATGTATTTTACAAGCTCAGTTCTCCATTACTTAGCAAGTAACACATTTGGTTTGTTTGTGTCACATATGAAGTTGTAGGCTTTTCTTTTTTTTTTTAACATTTTATTAGGGGCTCATACAACTGTTATCCCAATCCATACACACATCAATTGTGTAAAGCGCATTTGTACATCGTTTCTCAAAACATTTTCTCTCCACTTAAACCCCCGACATTAGGTCCTCATTTTTCCCTTCCCTCCCCGCTCCCCCTCCCTCATGAGCCCTTGATAGTTTATAAATGGGTATTTTGTCATATGTTGCCCTGTCTGATGTCTCCTTTCATCCACTTTTCGGTTGTCTGTCCCCCAGGGAGGAGGTCACACACAGTTCCTTGTAATCGGTTCCCTCTTTCCTACCCATTCTCCCTTTACCCTCCCTGTGTAGCCTTTTCATTCAGCACGACTATTCATGTTTTCCAGCTGAGGGAAAACGGCTATTAACTCCATCACCCCATTGCTCTGGAATGCCTCCTTTGGTAAGAATGGTGTCTTGTGCCAGTATTCGCTCATGGAGCATTCTAGTCTTTCCTCATTCACCCTTGAAAGGAAAAGAAAGAAAGAAAACTGGCAGGGAGGGTTTTCACTGACCCACAACAGAAGGAAGCACAGAGTGACCCAGCACTGTTCTCAGGTCACGGAGCTGGTTAGTGGCACCAAGGGGCACATGTTGGGCCAGCACCCAGTTCTCCCTTCATCCAGACTACCCAACCATGGCTTCGGGCTGCTCTTCAGAGCCCAAAGAGAATTGGGAGAGCTCTTCCACTCATCCATAAAGCCTGTTTTGAGTCGGCTCACCACTGTGAGCAATGGCAAAGATAACCCGAAGTCTAAACTAATATTTTGATGCTGGCAACGAGACATTTTGCTCTTTATTTTTGCCAAGCATGAAGTAGGCTATTGACATTGTACCTTTAAAAAAAAAGACATGTCATTTAACCAGGGAATAATGACAAATAACTCCCCAGCAAAGTAGACAGTCACAAAGTACCCCAAAAGGAGGAGAAAATGCCTAGGAGACCCTAGAAGAAGGTAAGGTACTTCCCTGTAGGGATCAGCAAAGGTGTACTAGATGAAAGCGCTCTTAAAGTATGCCTGGTAGAACCAAAGAGAGAGGAAAATTCGACAGTAGACATGATTCAGAGAGTGATTAATCCAGCAATCTCACGCTGCAGACCTGTGGGGTAGATGTTTAGCCTGCCCCATCTCAGATGGCCTCACACCACACCACACTTGGTTCACTCCTGCAGAGAGTGCTAAGGGCCCGAGCCTACTGAGAGTTCCGTTGATTTGAGCAATACAGGCCCTGAGCCTGTAACTAGAAAACCGAACAGCTTTATTTCTTACCTGGGAAAACTGGGCAAAGCTGCGGTCTGAAAACAAGGGCACATGTCCCAGCAGCTCATGGCAGATGTCACTGAAAGACAGAAGGTACAATGCTTGGAGAGGAGGAAGGTTACAAGTTCAAAGCCTCCATCTTCCTAGACCAGTGGTTCTCAACCTTCCAAATGCCGCGAACCTTTCATACAGTTCCTCATGTTGTGGTGACCCCTCAACCATAAAATTATTTTCGTTGCTACTTCATAACTTTCATTTTGCTACTGTTAGGAATTGGGCGACCCCTGTGAAAGGGTCGTTCAACCCCCAAGGGGTCGCGACCCACAGATTGAGAACCACTGTCTATACAAAGGAACTATGTCAGTCAGGCTACTAACCTAAGTGTTCTGTGGGGCTCGGAGTGAGATGAGGCATGGCATCAGAGACAAGAAAGAAAAGGGGAAGGGACGATAGGAACAAGGCAGGACACAGCAGCCAGTGTTCTCAGAAGTATGTCCTGTGGGGTCTGGGGCAGGGCAGCCAAGGTTATTCCCACTGAGTGAAATTCCCATCCCATCTTCTCCTTTAGACTCCCATCCCTAAGCAGATACAATATATTCAGTTATTCCCAAAGGAATTAGGGAAAGAGTGCTGTTCCTCTCTCAATCTGGAGGGAAGGAGGAGCCAGGGAAGAAACCCTACACTTCTTTCGCACTTTATGTGCCAGGTCCATTGGAAGCAGGTCTTTTCTGATTTGAAGCGATGAACTTTGTGTGCAGAGGAACATAATTGAGGACACTCTATGACATATGTTCTATCTGTCAAAGAAGGTGGCTAGACACAAAAGAATGAAACACAGTGGCCTGCCATTCCCTAACTTCAACTACAAAAAAATCCAGGCATAGACCCAAATCATGTATTCACATAGCCAAGGCTCCCTGGTGGTGCAGTGCTTAAGGGTTCAACTGCTAACCAAAAAGTTGGCAGCTCGAATCCACCAGCTGCTCTGTGGGAGAGAGATGAGGCAGCCTGGTGCTGTCAAGATTACAGAGTTGGGAACCACATCGGGCAGTTGCTTCAAGTCAGCATGGACTGAATGACAGACAGTGTGGCTATACGGTGTCCATATCTCCAGTGGGGACTAAGAGAGCAGGCCCACCACTCCTTCCTCTCCCCACTTAGAAGTTGATCCTGCTAACTTGTCCTGTTCCTTTCAGACTTCAATGGCCACTCCCTCAGTTCACAGCATCAGTCTCAATTCTCCAGTCAGTCTCGGCTAGTCTGACAGAGAAAAAATCCATCCTCTGTGTGGGGATGTGACACCACGGCTGAACCATCCATGTGACAATCCCTGTGAACCAGCCCCAATGGCCTGGAGCCTCACAGCTGGCCAGGGAGGGATGGTGCTCATTCTGAGTCAGATCTGACTACGTGGCAGTGGGCAGGGGCAGGAGCTGGCCGTTGGGGTCAGTACTCACGGTTCGGGCGTGTACATGGGCTTGGAGCCGTGCCTGATGTATTGTGTGCAGTGGAAGACTCGGAAGGCCAGGCCACCCAAGAAATCTCGAGAGGAAAGCAGGCCAGCCACGGGTCGGAGGCGGAAACCAGTGCAAGCTGAGAGACACAGAAAAGAGAGAATGCTCAGGCTCCATCACAGCAGAGCCAGAGGGGCCTGGGACCTTGTCACCACATTTGCCAGTAAGGGAAATGATGAGAGGAGCTCGTTTAGCTTCACACAGTCCACCCCATGAGCAACGGTGACTTCTGTAATGGGGGTGTTGGGGAGGAAGAAGTGTATATCCTACCTTTGACTCTTTCTGAATTGTTCTCTCTCTGAAGCTTTCTCGGAGTGGACTGCTTGCTGCTCTGCTCTTGGCCATGCAATGGACTCAGTGCTGTGCCGGCACAGCGACCCAGCAGGTAAGTCTGTCTAAGTCACAGCTAGCCAGGTAGGAGGTCTATTTGGACTGTGTGTTTATGGCATGTTCTCTAAATGCCTTTTCATCTATAGTAAAGCTGATATGTTTATCACTTTCTTTCCTGTTCTTTCATCCGTCCTTCTATTTGCTCCAAATTTGGAAGGAGGATGATGATAGCGATAATCATAATGTTAATAGGCAATTTATCTATTACTTATGTCAGACACTGTTCTCTTTATAATATTCATTAAGTCTCCCAGTAGCACTGGGAGATGGATACTTTTATTACTCCCCCACTCCCTTACAGATGGGGAAGCTGAAACAGAGAGGTTAAGTCTCTTGGCCAAGGTCTCAAGCTAGGAAGAGGCAACCTGACCTTAAAGTTTGTTCTTCATTCCTGTTCTATGATCCCCTCAAGTGCCAGTATTATTGCTTGTTATTCTTATTATTGACCAACACAGCGTGGGTTCTTAGCCAAAGAGAATCCTTCAGACTCCCTTGACCCTCTGTCTCTGTTTCCTGATTCTTCAGACAGACACTTACTCTGCTGGGACACTGCCTCTCCTCTCTATCTAGGAAGCAAAGATCCTCTAAATGGAAAAGACTTGTTTAACCCACCCTCAGTCTATCACTCTCCTCCATGCCATGTAGTTTCTCTAGAACTTTGCTTCAGAGTAGACTATATCTGTATATAGTGTATAACATGTAATATAATATGTAATATATTATGTTTATTATATATAATATGTAGTATGTATATATACATACGCTGCATAGCCCTGCTGAATAGAAAATTCTGCATAGCTACATGTCTGTTGTCTCTTGGATTTCCTTCAGTCTACTTGGCACATTGCTGGTGCACAATACCTGTGCTGTTTGAGGGGCTCTCAAGTTGATTCCAACTCATGCTGACCACACATGTCAGAGTAGAGCTGCCCTATTGCATTTTTCTAAGCTGTAATCTTTAGAAAAATGTATGGCTAAGTCTTCCTCTCATGGAGCTGCTGGGTGGGTTTGAACTGCTAATCTTTTGGTTAGCAGCCAAGTGCCTGAATGTTAGTTATTGCCCCCAGAATCAAAACTCTCCTAGAAAGAAGGAATACACTGGGCTCACCTGGAAATGTTATGAAAGGTAAGGCATCGGTAGATCCTGTTTGTCCACTGAATTACTCAGATCCCAGTCTCATCCAGAATTATCCAGCACCTGCTGTCTATGCAGCATTACGGTGGGTTTTTTTTTTTCTTTTTCTTATTCCATCCTCACACGTTCCCCATGAGAAAAGCTAGAGGGTTGACATGGCCTTCATTTTACAGATGACAAACCTCAGGCAGGCTCCTCTAATGAGAGAGGCTCATGAGCAAAATTCAGACCTGATCCCTGGACCTAGAGCTCTATCAGGGCATTAGGGGCATTGCCTCACAAGTGACACACTTATTAAGCACATGCACATACCATGGCTGTATCATAACCCAGCAGGAGCTGCAGGGAGAACCTGGCTGGGCATCCTGGGTTTTGACTATGAAGAAAAATACTTTTCATGGGTGTGTGTATGGTAAAACCCATGCCTGATGTCTTCTCTAGGCTAGGTGGAAGAAGGTGAGGTGGGATGCAGCAGTTGATACAAGTATCCCTGGGAGAATCAACTTGCATGGGCTGCCACAAACACACTCACTCACTTTTTTTTCTCTCTCTTCTTGTTTTATTTTTTTTCTCCCCCTCCCTCTTTCTTCTTCCTTCCCAGACCTTTCTCTGGGACATTTGGCTCCAACCTGGACTTACTCTGCAGAAATTGAGAAACGTCTTCCAACTGGGGAATATTATCTTCATGGAAGCCACAGTACTTTTCCAAAAGAGGGAAAATGTGATTGTGCTCGTAGCAAGCATGGGTTTTATACAATGACTTCAGGGTCTTGAATATGGTCCCCCACGTTTTCTTTTCCTCTTCGGTGTACTCCACTCGAGGGATGGGCTGCCCACTGGAAGACAGGCACAAAACAGTGGTATTCAGCAGTGTGGGTGCAGAGGGGAAGGAGATGGTAAGATTAACAGAGGTAGACAGGCTACAGCATTATTCATCACCCAGACACTGCTGCTGGTGGGTACCACGGAGTCGATTCTGACTGACAGTGACCCTGGATGTCAGAGTGGAGCTGCCCCAGAGGGTGTCTAGGCTGTCACCATTACAAGAGTGGATCACCTGGTCTTTCTTCTGAGGGGTCCCTTGGGTTTCAACCAACCAATCTACTTGGTTAGCAGGTAAGTGCTTATCTGTTGTGCCACGGAGGCTCTTTACCCAGGCTCCACTCACCGCCCTTGAGTCCACTCGAACTCGGAGTTGCCCTCTACATAGAGCAGAACCTCTCCACAGGGTTTCAGAAGCCGCAAATCTTTACAGAAGCAGAAGGCCTCCTCTTTCCACCTCTGAGCTGCCGATAGATTCAAGCTGCTGACCTGCAGACCTTTTATTTAGCAGCCCAGACTCTAGTGGATTAAACTATAGTTGTCAAGGGGCAAATTCCACTTCTTGATATAATAAATATTCATGTTCCAGTGTTCCCTGCAGAGGGTTGATTTAGCTAAGGAACAATATGAATACAACTTGCATATTTTGGCCTGGACTGAGGATTTGCTGTGCTATGCAATATGTGCTGTGCTCTTGGGGAAATCAATGAGCCTTTCTGTTCCCTGCCTCTCTAATTGGAACCCTGGAGGTGCAGCAGATTAACAACAGGGCAGCTATGAGCAGGGTTGGGGTTTCAAATCCACCAGTCAATCGCTGGGAGAAAGATGAAGGTGTCTACTCCTATACAGATTTACAGTTTCAGAAATCCCATGGAGAAGTTCTGTTCTATACTCTAGGCTTGTTGAGTTAGAATGGACTCCACATAGCAGTTGTAGGGTAGGCTTTCTGCTCCTTTATCCAGAGTGGAAAGTCACCGACCTTCAGGACCAGGCAGGCTACATAAATATGTAAAGAAGTCAGTGTAAGGCAATAAGGAAGATGGAGCAATACAATGTGCATATCTCCCCAGCTGTACTGAGGATTTGCTGTGCTCTTGGGGAAACCGACCAGCCTTTCTGTTCTCCCGCCTCTCTAATTGGAACCCTGTGGATACAGCAGGATGGAAGCTGAGCTGATTTGAAGAACAAGCTCTCTAAACAAAGGTATCCAAGTTCACCAAAAGCAACAAAATTCTATGTTAGGTCAACCACAGCGATGCTCTCTGTGGGCTCAAGGAGATTCTCAATATATGGACCATGAGTTTGAGACCCTCTGAGTCTCAAACCGCTCAGTGAGCGGTTCACTTCTTGAATCTGATATAGCTGTTCCAGGGACATTATCAAGGTATCTTGATGTATTCTAGATACAACGTACACTTATCAAGCCTCTTCTTTTTTGGACATAGCCGAATCATAGGGAGCCAGAATGCTCCTTAGAGGCAGAGATGGGAAGACATGTCATCGGGAGAGATGAGTCTTTGGAAAAGGCCATCATGCTCAGTAAAGAGAGGGGCAGTGATAAGGTGGAAAGCAGATTGATACAAGCGCTGCATCAGGGGGCTCAACTGGAAGGACAATTATGAAGATGCTACAGGACCGGCAGGTGTTTCTTTCTGCTGTACATAGTAGTGACTATAAGTCATAACCAAATTCAATGGCACCTAACGACAACATTAATGTTCATACACTGAGCCATGCCGACAGGTCCTGCTCCTGTAGGGGGAGGTGGGCCCTAGCATTTAGATTCCAAAAAGCTTCCCCACTGATGCACACTGTAGTTTCAGAGTCTAAGTTTGAAAGACCTTTCTCAGAACCACCCAAGACTGATCTGCGTTCCCAAAAGCAAAATAAAGAAAACCAGAATCTGATATCAAAGACCAGTGAGTGTTTCCTGGGCTCCAGGCCTGTATCCCTAACAGGGTACACCGTGTCTGGGACAAGGCAGGCCTGTTTACTGTGAAGTTATGGACCATCACCAAAGGAGGGCCTCCTGCCCTTTTAGAGTTGTAGCTTATCCAAAGACTTGAGCGTAAGAGCAAAGTTGTTTTCTAGGGATTGGGGTTAGGGCAGCTGTTGGCTTCAGAATTGAAGGCCGGGCAACCCCAGAGATCCCTGTGGTGACCAGGAGAGGGGTGAAAAGAAAACTAGTTAAGTCTGTGCATGAAAACACAGAAATATGGGGCTTTCTACCCCATAATTGGTCTCAGAGACCCCCAGAGGTAGTTCTAAACTCTTACAGGGTTGCTATCTGTCTGATCGACTCGATAGCACTGAGTGAGTACATAAACAAGCAGCTTTATCTCAGAGCCAAGCACTGAGGAGAATGGATCTTTGGAGACAGATTAGATAGATAGATAGATAGATAGATAGATAGATAGATAGATAGATA